TTTTGTTGTAAAAAAGAGAAGGAAGGGGCTGGGGATTTAGCTCAGCAGCATAAGTGCCTGCCTTGCAAGCAGGCAGTCGTGAGTTCGATCCCCGGTACTGATAAAAAGGAAAAAGACAAAAAAAAAGAGAAGGAAAAAAAGTGCTCTAAAGGATACAACTGCAAGTGTGTTTAGTGGTGTTAAATAGCTGACCATATTAATGTTTTTGGTTGGATCATTGAACACAACTGTTTGCAGTCTCTCTGTTTGAATGTTCACTTTGTATGCTTTGATACTGTGACTTGAGCAACTATCTCTAAGATGATAATGTGTAATCTATTAACTGGTGATTTCTTACTGTTTTTTATTTTTTTATTTTTTTTTGTAGTTCTGTATTACTTGTACCCTTACACCACTTTGTTTTGTTTTTTCTCTTTTTCCTTTTAAATAAAATTAAAAAAAAAAAAAAAGGTAAATGTCCCCTGATGCAGCATTTTAGATAAGCTAAAATCATTCGGTGACCAGAGTCTTTTATAAACCCTGGAGTCTTTGGTAATATACTTTCCCCTGAAGTTAATATATATTCCTAAGAAATATATAATAGGTACTGAGACACAGTAATAAAATAAAAAATTATATCCATGTGTAGTACTTGTGGGGTTCTATTAAAAGTCATCCTCAAATTCTACTTTGCAAAGATTTTCTCAGTTCCAGGACACTAATCTCCTCTCACTCCCTGGCTCAGTGGAAACTCAGGGGAGGTGCTTTCCACTGAGACTTGGCTCTCCCAGGCTGTAGCCAGAGCACACTGTCAGAGCTTAGGTAGGGTCAGGGCCACGCCACAACTGCTTGCCTGCAGGACCACCATGAGTCTGAAGCAAGCCTGGGCTACCTGGTGAGTTCTAGGCCAGCCTGGATCCTCTTTCTTTCTTTTTTTCTTTTTAATTAAAGTTTATTGAAAAGCAGTTGTACTTCCACTTCACGATGACAAACAAAAACAAAACACATATTTACAAGAGTATTAAAATATGAAATAGTGATAAATGTTACCTAAAAATTTACAAGACCTATACACAGAAAACTAGTCAACATTACAGAGAAAATTAAAGATTCCAAAAAACATTTTAAGTGAAACACTTGAAGATAATTTTCCAAAAACTGATCTAATAATCCAATTGTAATGAAAATTCATTTTTTAAATTGGCAAGTTTTTCTAAAATTGACATGAAAATCTAAGACTTGAAATCATTAAAACAATTGTGAAAAAGAAGAAAAATGTTGGAAAGTGAACATAACATTATTTCCATAACATACCAAAAAACAACAACAACAACAAAAAACCAACTTGCTCTGCTCTGCTACCCAAGGCACTGAGTTCTTTTTATGCATATGTTTAAGCACCAAGATTAAGATGCTTTGGAAAAATTTCTCCATAGGATACGGAGCTACACAATTTACCCATAAGGCTTTTTTTTTTGGTACCAGGAAAGAACTCAGGCCCTCACACTTGCCAGGTAGGCACTGTGCCACTGAGCCACATCCCTGACCCAAGGCCTCTTTCAATTATGTTAGGAACACTGGTTGATCCTGTGGAGCCCATCTAACTCACAGGTAACTGATCTCAAGAGTGAATTCTGGAGAATGGGGAATGGGCCTTGAGAATGGGGAGGCATCAAAACATCAGAGTGGAAGGAAGACTAGAGAAAGCCAGTTTTCACTTCTGCAGAAAAGTGACAAGTTGAGGGAGTGGGACAAGACTGACGAAAGGAAGTCCCAAGGTGGCAGTGAAATAACGGGCCACACTTGAGCAGAGGCAATGAATCTTTTCTTCAATGCCTTCAATGCCCCTTGCTCCTCTTCAAAGTGCACAGGTCCCCAAAAGTGAGCCAAAGCTTCCCTGGCAGAGGTTAGGAGAGCAACAGAACAAAGGGTTATACTGTTCATGGCACACACTGAAGGGGAGCCCCTACCCCCAGCCAATTCCTCTTTTGGTCTAAGCTACTTCTCTCTGGTCTAAGATAATCATGACACAACTGTTCTCCTTTGCTAGTGACTGAAACAAGACCCAGCTCTTACTAATAAGATATAAGGGACAGCTCCTGGGAGCTTTTAGGAAGAGTTAAAACCAAAGGCACAGGAGGAATAATCCCTCTGCTAACCTCGTTTCCTATTTTCAATATTCCTCGTTTCAATATTGTTCTGTCTCTTTTCATGTGAAAATACAAGTTGATCATCTCTACTCCAGAAATCCAAATCCAACATGCTCCAAATTAGATTTCAGATTTTTTAATTTTTTTATTTTATATATTTGTCTTTTTGACACAGGGTGTCACTATGCAGGTCAGGCTAACCTTGGGCTCACTTTGTAGCCCAGGCTGGTCTCAAATTTGCAACAGTCCTCCCTCAGCCTCCCAAGTAATGGGATTACAGGAATGCACCACCAAGCATGGTTCCAGAATTTTAGATTAGGGATGTTCAGTTGGAAAAGTCTACAAATATTCCAAAATCCAAATCTCTGAAAAAATTTTTTTTCGTACCTAATGAAACTAAAGACCTAAAGACCTTGAGCTTTCCAGGCAGGCGCTTGTGCCACTGAGCTATATCCGCAGCCCTGAAATCTAAAATAGATCTAGTGTCAAGCATTTTGGAGAAGGGTAACTCAACTTGTGTAGCACTTGAGATGTAGTAACTCTGACCCAAAACATAAGGATCAAAGGTGGCAGATTATAGCACAGTATAACAAAATGAAATAAAATAATAAATAAATATTTTTAAAAATTTAAAAAACCACAAAACATGGTAGCACATGTTTGTAATCCCAGCACTCTTAGGATACTGAGGCAGGAGGACTGCCATGAGTTCGAGACCAGCCTGGGAGACAAAGTGAGCTCAAGGCCAGCCTGAACTGCATAGTGAGACCCCGTCTCAAAAAGACAAAAAAAAAAAAGCAATGATATTACATACTAGGAAGATATGAAGATATTTAATGGGTACAAAAATAATTTCTCACTTAGGAAATATTTTCAATATTATTTCCTACATATTTTTCAAAATCAATAAATTTTCAAATCAAAGTATACAGTACTCTTGATTCCAGCCTAGTTATTTCAATTTATTCAATCCTCAGCTCAGTCTTTTTATTCAATTGCCTTATTTCACAGGTGAAAAATTGAGGCACAAGTTGACATACTCCAAGTTGCAAAGGCAGTTGGTGGCAGAGCCAAAGTCAGAAATGAGGAAAGCTAGGCACAAACCAGAAGACAGCAGTGGTTACCTTAGTTCTGTGGTTCTCTGCTTTCAGTCCCTCATACAGAGTTTTGTTGAAAGATATTTCACCAAGGACCTGCAGGTCAGTTATATCTCTTTGTAACTATAAGATTGGGGGAAGGAGGGAAGAAAACAAAATGCATTTTAGACATGGACTCTCTGCTTCTGAACAGCCGTCACCATCTGTCCCTTTAAACGCGTTCTTTCTCTTAGTTTCATTAGCCTCATTAATGGCCTCAGCATTCACAGTTACCTCAAGAAAGAAATGTGCTATTATTCCTCAGTGTTTCCCTTACTCTCTACCTCACGCTACAAACTCAACCCAAAGTCAGCTGTTGACAATGCTTTAAAAAAAAAATCCCTTTACCCAGTCTCCTTTTTTCTCTACCCAACTGCTATTTCCTCAAACCTCACTGTGCTTTCCAAATTACCGCAAAATGTGAAACTTGATCACTAGTTCCCACTTTATAATAAGCGATGGGGACAAGCCTCTAAGCAAATAATATTTGAGGGAAATATAAGAAACTATCCATATCAAGATTTAGGAGGACAATGTTATGCAAAAAATAGCAATTACAAAGGTCCTATGTCCGGAAACAGAGCAGCTGGGCTGTAAGAAACGAACAGGCGGAGAGAAAGAAGAGTACGAAGAGACAAACTTAAAGAATCAAGCAGAGACCAGATCTGGTACAGCTCTGCAGTCTATAGGGAAAAAAAATGTATTGCGTTTACTCTAAGTATGTTCAAACTCACTTTTTAAAATCTTATTACTTCTTTTAGCATGGAAGTAGCATAATCTAATGTTTGCTTTTAGAAGATGTATAACTGTTATGTAAAGAATTATTTGTAGAAGGTATGAGAAAAGAGGAGGCAAGGAAAGCAGGTCCAAGGGTGAAAGGGGCATGCCCTAGCAGGCGAGGGTAGCTTGAATTACAACGGTGGTAGTAGAGATGGAGAGAACTGAACGATTCTGGAGGTAGAAGAGCAGGGCTTGCCGCTGGAATAAATATGGGATGTAGAAAAGAGGGGACTCATTGGTAATTCTGATTTCCTAGCACCCAACAGGAGTAACTTACTACTGAAGGTAGCCCCAGGAACTAAGGAGCAGGCGAGGACAGAAGGTGGAAGAGACCTATTTTGAATGTGTTCCACTTTAGACGCTATTATCCTGTGTAGAGGAGCAGTTCAGTCTCAAGTACCTGGTTAGAGTGACCCAAGGAGATCTCTGCAGCCACGGTGACATTTTCTTCATCCGAAGTGATGTTACAGCTCACTGAATGCCACTCTTCCACATGCTAGAAAATCGACGTGTAAGTAGTTAGCTTAAATCTTCTTCCGTGAGGAAAGGCTACCATTTTTAATGGTTAGGACACAAAGTAGCTTAAGGTCCCAGGGTAGAGCGTGTGAGCAGTTTGAGCAATCCCCCTGGCCCCAGGAAAGCCTTCACTGGCAAACGCGACCCACTGAGGAAGACGTTGAGGGCTTCAGAGGAACCTTAGAAAAGCAGCTACCTGATCTCTCCTGCCAGCCGCTCAAAGCCCTCCTCAACCCCTTCTTCAGCCTCTCGCCGCGGCCACGCTCACCTGAACCGGAGTGCTCCCACAGGCACTCTCCTGACTCTGGATGCACTCAGTGGAGTCCTAAAATGAGAGCCATTTTCACAAACCGCTGAGAAAACAAAATCGCCCTAGTCGGCTTCCGTACAAGCCAGCGCGTTGCGCATGCGCAAAACCGGAAGCTAGGACCCAGTGGGCAAGCGGGCGTGTGGAAGTATCGCGGTGTTAAAATTTGAACTTCTCCGCGGGTTCCGCCAGACAATGGCGGCGTCATCCCGGCGACCAGAGAGCCGGCTGTTCCGGACTTATGGGGCTGCTGGCGGCGGGCGACCGCGGCGGCGACGGTCGGGCCGGACAGCCGCACAGTGGTTCCAGCCACAAGACCAGGAGCATTTGTTCGGCAGCAGCAGCGACGTCAGCAGCGGCTCCTCGCAGTGTGTTGCTTCCGACGATCCTGACGACCCTGACTTCCCCGGCAGCCCTGTCAGCCGACGGCAGAAGCGTCCTGGCAGCAGAGACGCCATGGACTGGCCAGCGCTGACCGCGACTCCGAGACACCTAAGGCTGCGACCTCGGCCGCCACAAAAGTGCAGCACCCCTTGCGACCTGCTCCGACCACTGCCTTTCTCCAGCAACCACCTGGACCACCTCAGGCCGGACCTTAGCGTGTGCAGCCAGCTCAGGGACGGCGACGAGCCGGGCACCAGTGCCTCCCTGTTCAGCGTTTCGGCCTCGACCGACCTTCTGTCGCCCGAGCCAGGAGGGAGAATCATCTCAATCAGCTCCTTTGCCGCCCCAGATGCAGCCTCTCCTGTCACGAGCGGTTCCCCCATCCCGGCAGCCTCACAGGGCCAAGCATCACTGTCCTACTCCCAGGAAACATCAAGAACAGGCGGGTTCAACAAGATGATCCGCCGAGCCCGTGCCAGCCTCAGGTCAGCTCTCTTTAGCCTCATGAATTCAGGAAACTCTGAGGATTCTGAATTGGGGCCAAATGGGGAAAATATGAAGGAGTCCCGTTGTGAAAGACAACTGACAAGAAATAGGCGGGAGAGCTTAGATCTAAGAAGCAGAGGTAAGAAGAGAACCAGAGACCAGGGCGCTTTTCAGAAGCTGGGGTGTCAGGGAGCCATCCAGAAAGACTGCGAGGAGGCCAGTGGTTCCAGGGACTTAGTTGTACCTGAGAAAATCACCAGGCCTAAGAGAACTGGGCTAAGCCAGAAAAGGAAACATCAAGAAGTGGACACCTCACCCTTCCATTACCACCAGTTTAAAAAGGGCCAGAAGACTGGGAAGGATTTATGCCTGTCTCAGGACCTGACTCCTCAGAAGGCTTGTTCTTGGGTTAAAACCAAGGCCTCCTTCAGTTTTCACAAGAAAAAAGTTGTGACAGACATGTCAGAGGTGGGCAGCAGCTATACCATTGCCAATTCTCTCTGTGGGTCCCTCATATCAGAAAATCTAAGCTGTTCTGCCATGAACAGAACAAATAGTGCTCTGGACCCTCGGCACTCCTCTTCTATGTATTTGCTAAGCCCCCTAAGGAGTTTACTTGTTGCAGAAAAAATGGCATCTGATGCTGAAAAGGTCTATGGGGAATGCAATCAGGGAGGTCCTGTCCCCTTTAGTTACTGCCTTTGTGAGGAAAAACTGAAACGTTGTGAGAAGATTGGAGAAGGGGTTTTTGGTGAAGTGTTTCAAACAGTTACTGATAACACACCTGTAGCTCTAAAAATCATTGCTATTGAAGGAGCGGGTTTAGTGAATGGATCCCATCAGAAAACTTTCAAGGAAATCTTACCAGAGATTATCATCTCCAAAGAGTTGAGCCTCTTATCTAATGGGGTGTCCAATCGTACAGAAGGCTTTATTGGGCTGAACTCAGTACATTGTGTTCAAGGTTCTTACCCTCCCTTGCTGCTTAAAGCTTGGGATCATTATAACTCAACCAAAGGGTCTGCAAATGACCGGCCTGACTTTTTTGAGGAAGACCAACTCTTTATTATACTGGAATTTGAGTTTGGTGGAATTGACTTAGAGAAAATGCAAAGGAAGTTGTCCTCTGTAGTTAACGCAAAGAGCATTCTACACCAGATCACAGCATCACTTGCAGTAGCAGAGTCATCACTTCGCTTTGAGCACCGAGACTTACACTGGGGCAATGTGCTCCTAAAGAAAACCAACCTGAAAGAGCTCCACTACACCCTCAATGGGAAGACCAACACAATCCCTACCTGTGGACTGCAAGTCAACATCATTGACTACACCCTGTCACGGCTGGAGCGGGATGGGGTTGTAGTTTTCTGTGACATTTCTGCGGATGAGGACCTATTTACAGGTAAAGGTGACTACCAATTTGAGATCTATAGGCTCATGAGGAAAGAGAACAACAACTGCTGGTGTGAATATCACCCTTATAATAATGTGCTCTGGCTACATTACCTCACAGACAAGATCCTGAATACCATGACCTTTAAGAACAAATGTAACACCCCTGCCTTAAAGCAAATGAGGAGAAAGATCCAGTATTTCTATAAAACAGTGCTTAACTTCAGCTCTGCCACTGACCTGCTCTGCCAACACAGTCTATTTCAGTAAGCAAAAATATGTCTTACTGCCCCAAAGTCAGAGGGCGCTGATTTTGAAGCCTCCAGTATTGTTTTTAGTCTCCATCCCCAGACCAAAGTGGAGGTAGAATTTCCATTCTTATATTTTCAACCAGCTTTTCAAACAATTTTGTTTTCAAATGGGAAAAATGTTTGTTGAAATGATTAAATGTGCTGTTAACAAATGCTCTTAAATAAATTACATCTATGGAGGACTTCTCTAAATTGCTCTGCATTCAGATTTTCCCTCTTGAGCTTCTGCCCTATGTGCTTGTTCTGTGCATTATGTCAATTACTTGTTTACTTCTCTCTTTTACCACCAGTTTAGCTATTAAAGGGAGCTTAGGCTCTAAGAAGAAATAAGTGAATAAATTACATATGAAAGCAAGTGCTTGCAACTTGTAAATCTAGTTGTCAACAGGGTCCAGCCCTGGCATTAGTTGTTATACTGATCCTGTTGCTTTAGGTATCAAGACTGGCTTTAGAAACAAAGAGAATAAAGAACTGCAAACAGGGAGGTTGTAGCAAAGCTATAGAGTGAAAGAAACTAGAGTAGAAAAAAAAGCAAAAGTAGACTATAAGGGGATGAGAAATGTCATGTTTATCAGGCTCACTCACCAGGCACATAGAAACAGCAGTTTTCAAAGGGGAAATAAATGACTCCATGGTTGCTAATAACATTGAATTTTTGCATATTTTTCATCCAAAAAAAAAAAAAAAAATCCGAGAGCCGAGCATGGTGGCACATCCTTGTAGTCCCAGCACTTGGGAGGCAGGAGGACTGTTGCAAGTTCAAGACCAGCCTGAGCTACAAAGTGAGCTCAAGGCCAGCCTGAACTGCATAAAGACCCTGTCTCACAAAGAGAAAAAAAAAAAAAAAAAAAAACTGAGTGGTTGATACTCCTAGACATGAATAGTAATGTCCAATATTTTCTCATGGTTAACCTTGGTTTTTACTCTAAATCACTAGTTTTTGTTTTTGCAGTACTGGGGATCAAACCCAGAGTCCCTTTTTAATTTTTGTTTTGAGTCAAGATTTTGTTAAATTGCCCAAGCTGGGCTTGAGCTGTCATTTCTGCCTCAGCCTTCCAGAATACTATGACTACAGGCAGGTACTACATGGGCCCCTTAAGCTGTGGTTTTTATACCTTCAAGAATCCATAATCAGGGCTGGGGAATTAGCTCAATGGTATAAGTGCCTGCCTAGCAAGCACAAGTCGTGAATTCAATTCCTGGTACCAAAAAAAGGAAAAAAAATCCATAGTCAATATGAAAAGAGATATGATCATGATAAAGAATTGTCTTTTAAGTACCTGAATCTTTGTTAGATTCTTCACTCTTACAACCTGTAGACCTTGTAATTTGGTTGGTACACAAATTTGCAACTGGAATTGGGCTTTAAAGCGATTTTCTCCATGTATCTGCCAAGTAAAAACCAGAGCAGGAAGTCAGAGTTCGTGTTTCTTTGCCAGATGCAGTTCTGCATAGACTATGTACTTACACTGAAGAGGAATTCTTTATAGTCAGAAAGCCGCTGGCTTGTGTTCATGTACATCACTGATGGTCTGCAATTGAGAGGACATGTATTAGCTTCCAGGTCCTCTTCATGCTTTGGATAAACCTGAATACTTGTTAGATATACTGGGACAAGGGAACCAGATCCTTAACAGGAATCAAAGCTGAAGGTCTAAGTGCGGAGTGGTGATGGGATAATTAGGGTAGAGTATCTGCATTGCATATAGCGGGGCTGATTCATTTTCTAGTAGCACTCCTCCTTTCTTCCCAAGCCCGCAGTCCTTCTCTCCCTCTATAGGGAACTTGTCAGTTCCCTTTTATAGCAAGACTAGTGGGTACTGCTTCTCTGATGACCCTCACGGAGTTTCTAGACCCCAGTTCTTGTGCCATAGTGATCAGTATTGGAGCCTGGGTTCTAAGCAGCCTCCTCTCAGAAGGATATTGCTACTTAACTGCTACTTCCACCCCCAAGAGGGACTCCCTAAAGCGGTCCTCTGTGTGTGGGGATCACGCAGGTGCAGACTCAGAGTACTTACTTGGAAAGAACTGCGGTGAAGGCATGCCGGAACTGAAGGCTGTGGGTCTCTGTGGCCAAAGATCTCTCGTCGGAACTAGGAATGAAATGCTTGTTCACAACTGTATGTGTAATAGTTACTTGTGTACCATCCTGGCTTCCCAGGATCATGATGTGGAGGGGATGTTAGATAAGAAAAGACTCAGATATGCAATTAGAGTACAAAATAATCACTACAAGACTACACTTTGAGAAATTACTGACTTCACAAAGATTTCTCAAACTCAATACTATTGACAGTGGGGATCAGAAAATTTTTTGTTGTTAAACTGTTCTGTACATTGTCTAGTAGCATCCCTCATCTATGGATGCTAGACGCACCGCCTAAGTCATGACAGTCAAAAATCTCAGGAACCAGGGACAGGGGAGCTGCTTATACTCCCGACACTTGGGAGGTTAAGGCAGGATGTTCTCCATGAGTTCAAGGTTAGCCTGATCTACACAGTGAAACCCTACCTTGACCAAAAAGAAACATTGCCTCTGGGAACAGAATACCCCTATTTGAGTGTATCAAAACCTCTAAATATAGAGGTTGTGTGGTTCTTCCAAAATTAAGCAAGCCAGAACCAGATATCTAGTCCAAAGTTCATTCCACTCCACTATACCATGGCTTTACTTTTTGTTTGTTTGTTTGTTTTGGTCTTTTTCCTTTTTATTGGTACCGGGGATCGAACTCACGACTGCCTGCTTTACAAGGCAGGCACTTATGCCGCTGAGCTAAATCCCCAGCCCCCATGACTTTACTTTGAATAAAAGAATTCTTTAACTATCTTTGATAAGATGTCACCATAGGGACACAAGACACTTCTGTGGGCTCACTGAGGTCCCCCTTCTCCTTGGGCAGGAGGGGCTGTAGGTCCCACAACATCTGGACAGTGTTGGTGGGTCGGGAGGTTTCCAAGGTCACAGCCTGAGTTGGCTGTGACTACTTACTTGCTGATGGTCACAGTGATGTGTGCTGTTCTGTTTGGAAAGGGACTCTCTTCTAGCTGCCAAACTATTGACATGTTTACCTGTTTTCAAGGAGGAAATATGGTCACTTGATCCCTCTCTAATGTGCACTTCACAGTGCAAACATGCAGTGAACAGGGCAGACAACATTATTCCCCCTTCCAGGTTCCCTTCCAGGGTTTAGGAAGCCACTGAGAAGGTTTCCTGCAGCACAGAGAATGTGGTCTGATGCCCTCCCCAGCTTCACTCTGCTTTTCTGCAGTGAGCCAAAATTTTGTCTTTGGCCATGTACTCAAACTGCCTCCTTACCAGTCCTTCCTTTCAGAGCAAACTTAGCGGTTCTAAGCGCTGCCATAGGTTGGCTTCAGTAACGGGAAGCATAATGACAAGTGAGAGACTCCAAAGAGACTGGGCTGTAAATAAGGGCAGCTCTAGGGCATTAAGAAGATACTACCAGTCAGGGCAAACTTACAGATGACCTCCTGAGTATGGGGTAACCGATCTTGCAGGTCATGACCAGGACGGATGCAGCCGGCTTAGGGTTGGTGCACTGGACGTTTGGAGAGGGAGGCTGTTGACACAGATAGGACACTGTTAGTTTCCTCACACCGATTCAGCAAACACATAACGATTTTCTTCCTTCATGCCAGACACCTGCCAGGATCTGGGGACACCAGAACTGAGACTTGGTCCCTGTCTGTCTCAGGCTAGTCAGGAGGGCAGAGCAATAGAACAGTGAAGAATTTTAATATAGTGCCTCAGGGCTTTTTCTGAGAGAGGAGTGGAAAGATGAATTCCAGCCACGAGGACCCTCTAAAATCCTGATGGGGAGTCAACACTTGAACTGGGCTTAGGATCAGCACAAATGTCACACACAGAGATTTATGAAGGCCAGCACAGGTTTAAACAATGTCTCTCTCAGTCAGTTCCTCATCTGATCCCCTAAACACAGGGAACAATTCTCCCATGGACTGTATATCACCAGTTCCACTCTAGATGCATAGAAAATAGTTTCATTATTTTTTCATATCATGGATGTTATTTTAGTTCATGCAGCATAAGACCATTGGGGACAAACCTGCATTGCAACACAGTCAAGTTTATGGACTCACAGACTCATTGCAAATGAGGACATGTGTGCTGCAGTGTTTTCCCCAACAAAGGAAAAGCCAGGGTTTTTAAAAGGTTTTGGGGGTGGTGGAGTTTAGATGCATTTGCCCACACTGGGCTGGATTTGGTGATCATCCCGCCTCATCCTCCCAGAGTGCTGGGATTATAGATGTATGCCACGATATCTGGAAAATTTCTTTTCTCAGTGACTTAGGGCTTTTGATCTTTATCTCTCAGAAGCCTGGTTAAGAAAGGAAGCATGCAGGGAGAATTTATGGAATGGTGCCACCGAAAGTTTGCAAGGCAGAGAATGGACCCACAGCCTGCAGCTGAATTGGAGAGGATTCATCTAATCACTAAGCATTTACTGGACAGAACAGGAAGAGGCTGGAGGTATGGAGCCCAGTCAGGAGGTTTCATGCACACAAAAAGAGGTATGCAGGCCAGGGGAAGACATGAGGGCATGTTTCCAAAGCTGCTGCCACGATTACCTTTTGTAGCATCTTAAAGTGTAGATTTCTGGGGTAATTCAAAGCCATGCTTGTCAGGTAGGAATCTTCCCCAGAGTTAGTTAGGCTAATGTTCATGGTCAGTTCCTTGGTGAGACCCACCACCAATTCCTGTCTGCACAGGGTAAAGATAAAAGCATTACCAATTTATCTAATCTGTAAAATCTTGTACACACTTGAACAGCACATTCTTAACTACATGCATAAATTGTCTAAAGGTTATATGTAGCCTAGATTTTCTTCTCCCTGCCACATCCACCTCGTTGCTGGATGAGATTATAACGGCTACCATCTGTGTAGTGCTTGCCATGTTCCATGGCTGTGCTTTGGGCCCTCAGTTAATTCCTAGTTAAGTTCCATGTTGTAGAAGAGGAAAGGAGTCAAGAGAGGCCAGTTTGCCTGAAATCTAGCATCCTCCAAAGAAAGCTGGGAGAGTTGAATCCAAAACTTCTTTCTACCACCAGATCACTGTAGGCAAGGTCCTTCATGTCACACATTTATCCAGTCCACAGATACGTATGGGACATTGTACATGTGTCAAGTGCTCCACAAAGCACCGGAGAGCAGTATACACAAGGCACACACAGTTCCACCTTCTTAACAAAGCTCCCCCCCCCGACCCTTGAGTCAGGGTCTCACTATGTAGTTAGGGCTGTCCTTGCACTTACAGGTAGCCCAGGCTGGCCTCCAGCCCTCAGCAATCCTTCTGCCTCAGCCTCCTGAGTGCTGGGATTACAGGCACCCAACATCCATACCCGGCAAAGCCTTCTTTCATGGCTTCAGCTTTTCTCCTTTGCTGATTTCAGCAAAAATCATTCAGGCCCTTCTAACTAACAAGCTGTGGTCCAAGTCCACTGAGAAGACTGCCCATATTCCATGCAGAATTACTTCTAAGCTGTATGGGGTAGTGTAGGAACAACACAAAGAAAACTTGCAAACCACCTGAAACATCCGCAGAAGGAATGTGCAATATGCGGAGTGATGTGGCTTGCCTTTTATAGTTATTGCTTTGTCCTGATTTTCGTTTTGTCACAGCTGAGAAGAGATAGACTGGAGGAAAAGACAAGGGCAGATACAATTAGAGCCTACTGTTGAAAATTCATCCAAGGGCTGGGGATTTAGCTCAGCGGCATAAGTGCCTGCCTTACGAGCAGGCAGTCGTGAGTTCAATCCCCGGTACCAATAAAAAAAAGAAAACGACAAAAAAGAAAGAAAATTCATCAGAGAGACAACACAGCCAGAAATACAACCTTAGTGGAGTCGGAGGAAGGCGAGTCAGAGGTGGTAAGGCAATCAGGAGAAGAAAGGAGAGGAGAGGAGAGAAGGGAGGGGAGAGGAGAGGAGGGGAGAGGAGAGGAGACGAGAGGAGGGGAGGGGAGGGGAGGGGAGGGGAGGGGAGGGGAGGGGAGGGGAGGGGAGAGGAGAGGAGAGGAGAGGTTGAGATTCCTGTTCAGATGGCTCAGTGATGTTTCTCACTGAGAGAACAATCATAAGGGAGAGGATCCCAGGATGCAGGGAGATGAGCTCAGTCTGGGATGTGAGAAGAGACAGTAAGACAGAGGTGCTGCGTGTCTGCTGAATGTACTGTTTCAGGGCCTGAGAGAGATCTGACCATCATCAGAATATTTACCAGAGTTTCTTAACCTGAGGCCCAGGGACAGTTTCAGAGGCCCCAGAATGCAAGCATTTATGTGTGCATATATAGCCTTGGGAGTGGGGTCCGGAGTTTTGTTTTGTTTTGTTTTGTTTTGTTTTGTTTTGTTTTGTTTTGTTTTGTTTTGTTTTAGGTGATCCCTGTCTGCAAAGATCAAAATTGGTTCAGACAGTTGGACCCCGAAACGGGCTCAGCAATGCTTCAGAAACAGAAATGCTTGCTTGCTGTGTACACCAGGAGGCAGTGCAGGGCAAGCTGTGCGAGCTGCACCTGTTTCCCAGGATCTGGCTGGGAGACTGGTGCTTGGCTATAATTAATTCCCCGTGGAAACAGCTGTGCCCGCTTGTTAGGCTGGATTCCAAAGCACTCGAAGGTCTTGAATTGCGTCCTCAGTGATAGGCAGCACTAAGCCGTCTGCATCTGAATGCAAGCTCACCAGGGCTCAGGGGACAGTCTCCCACAGGTGGCAACTCTGGCCAGATGGTCATCAGTATCAGGATACACACGGGTGCTGCTGGCCAGGAAAGGCATTTTAAGACCACCAAATGTGAAAACCAAACTCCCAAAGTTGGTTCAGCTTTTGGCGACTCCATTGTTCTGGAATTCAGGGTGTGGGAACACTCATACCCAACCCAGAATTCACAGTATTGGAAATGGTCCGTGGCATCTGTTACCACTGCCCGTACAAGGGCACTGAGCACTTGGGATGTGGAACTAATGTTTTTAACTGTGTGTAAGCTTAATGACTTTAAATTTAAACAGCCGGAGGGTGGAGGGGAATGTGCTTTGGGCTAGATCCCCAGCTGTGATCCCTCCTAACTCTCCACCTCCTCTTACCCACAGAGACTTTCACTTCAAAATGTAACCGCCTTCTTTGCTATCGCCCAGCTCAAGTCGCCCCATCTCTCAGATGCTTCATTGCAATAACTATTGTCTCCTTGTTTCTGCTCCCCTAATCCATTCTCCACACATCAGCAGGCAAGATCACATTGCCCTTTGATCTTCTGTTCACAGTGAAAGCCTTTCTGAGGCCTGATGAAACCCCACTGAACCCCGCATGTTACTCTCATCTGCTCCCCATTCTGGTCACCCCACTGCAAATACCCTGGGTCCTTGCCTTGCCCCCCACCAGCCAGGCATGATCCCACCCCAGGGTTTTTGTGGTTGCTCTTTCCTCAGACACCCCTACAGCTGGCTCCCCCACCTCCTCATGTGTGCCAAATTCAGCCTCTCTGGCCACCCTATTCCGTCTTCCCTTCCTTATACATCCCATGCTCAACGTAGAATTTACTTATCTATTATATTCTCCCCCTAAAAGCACCAAAAGGGCAGGAGTTTTTGTTTACATGCTCCTAGAGGTTTTCCCCGCACCTCCAGTGCTCAACACAGAGACATCTGAGGCATTGTTATTTCTTCAAGAGGTAAGCCAGGAAAGAGACTGCCTCTAGTGGAAGTAGCCCAAAGAGTGAGGATCATCAGATTACAACACACAATATCATCCAGGATTGGATTTAAGTTCACCAAATGACCCTATACAAAGGCCTTGGCTATGAAGTCTGTTTCCCAGTCTATAAAATGGAAACAAAAATCCCTGTCTTTCCTCCCTCATATGGTGACTGAGATAGCAAGCACAAAGACTTTTTGAGGACCATGGTGGAAAGGAAAAATGAACAGTGGATCCTGATGAGAGGTTTGCCCAGGTAAATTCTCCAGGAATAGGTTGACTGCAGAAACCACGGCATCATCCAACTCACTGAGACATGGAGGTGGCCAGCTGTAACTCAGCATTGCAAAACAGGTTATTCTTGCAGGCCTTCTGATAGGGCAGCTGTAACCAACAAGGAGGGCAGGGTCAGCCAAGGGGTCCTGGCCTACCTGTAGCCCTGCCTCATGATCTTCTGTCTAGGACACTTCCTGTTTCCTCTTGAAGCTTTTAGATGGATTTGAAGGCTGGGAGGCTGGGATTGAGCCCACACAGGCAGAAGTCCTGCGGCTGTGACATTGCTGGTTAGGAATGACAACATAGGCACTGCTAGAACAGCCTCTGGCAAAGGTAAAAACACGGTACCAGGGATCAAACTCACGACTGCCTGCTTGCAAGGCAGGCGCTTATGCCACTGAGCTAAATCCCCAGCCCCTGAGGAGGGAAACTTTGCAGAGGAAACCTTAGCCCTTTCAAGTAGGGTGGGGACAGCTGGGGCAGGAGCCAGGGCCACCTGACCAAATATCAACAGGTCCCAACCTCAGATGTCCCCTGCCCCAGGGCTGGTGTCCTCTGTAAGTTACTATTTCCCTTGCAAACTTTAATACACATAGTAAACAAATTCAGAAAATCACACCTGGTTGAATAGGCCCCTTTGAGTTTTAAAAGTCCCAGTTTTAGTTGAAAAATCAAAGTTTCTAAGATAGGTGATCCTATTTTTTTTTTAAATGAAAGGAACTCATCTCCAAAGCTGGGGAGTTCCATCTGTGTCTTCCCCAACAGCCAGTGTGCACTGAGGCAGCTTTCTGCAGGGCTGTTATCACAGCCTGGGCCTGGAACAAGAGCCCTGGGCTCGGGACAAGAAGGAGACTTCCTGTCTCCTGGAGGAGGGAGTTTGCAGAAGTCAGGTCCTGGAACTTCATCTAACTGGGTCAACAGTTTGCACAGGGTTTTTGTTTTTTATGTAGCCAAGTAGCTCATTCTCTTTCATCCAATTCCAGTGAAAGAGAACAGGGCGGAGCCAGCCATCTAAATCCCCAGCAAGAACTCATTCTCTGATAACATCTGTGTGCCCACGTCAGACACTTCTCACATCCTTTTCATAAGTAGAATAAAAATGTTCAAATCTCTTTCCCATACTACCCTAGTAATAGTCGATTAAGGTCAATCTCATAAATGGCAGGATATGTACACAATCTCAAAGCATCTCACTATCAAGTATTTATATCAGTATTAATCCCCTGATTTGTATCACTGTACAAATACTATGTAACAAAATGCCCTTGTTCTTAGGAAACATACCAAAGTACTGGGGGGTAAAGAGGCTCAGTAACTGTCATTCATTCTCAAGTGAAAATTGTGTGAACTCTTCATGCATGCGTGCGTGTATGCATGTGTGTGAGACAGGGTCATGCTATGTTACCCAGGCTGGGCTCAAGTGATCTTCCTGACTCAGCCTCTTGAGTAACTGGAAATACAGGTGCACCAGTGATCTGGCTAATAACTGTGACTTTTTAGTAAGTTATATATTTCAAAGTCAAGTTTTAAAAAAAGAGAACATCCATATTTAGTGGCAATCTACTCATCGCTAAAACTCTATGACAGTAGTTCTCCCAGTCTTTTCTGAATCATCCAATTCGTTGAAGGTTTGAGGGAGCCAGACATGCACCCTACAGACTCTGACCAATGGCAGAATAGGCAGGTGCACCAAAAGTCTCTCTCTCCCAGCCCATGACAGCTCCAGTCCAGCCCCTGCAAGGGACTCCACCACACTGCCCTCAGGTACCCTTACCAGGCCAGGGCCCCAGGACACAATGTGTTTTTTCCTATGCATAGTAAGCCTCCTAGTAAAGCATAAAGGAGCACGCTTGGAAGAATGGCTGGAGACCTGTCACCTACCCGTGAGGTCCTGAGCAAATGAGCATCATCTCAGGGACTCCCCTTTTTCATTTGTACAGTGAGGAGCCCGACTCCTAGCTGAAGACCCTCCCTGCCAACTCTAGCCTTCTTTGAGTTCAGGGGAGCAGGTGCTTTTTGTGGGTTGGTCCCCAGGAGAGTGGGTCTTAGCTGGAGACAGAGTCACCTGGAAGACAGCAAAGGGTTCCTTGTTGGCCAGAATGGGGCAGGAGTCCCGTCTCCATCCCTCAGGATCCTGGAGCTGGTAGATGACCTTGACAGTGATATTGGAGAAGCAGTCCTCCTCACAGAGCTGGAGGTGGAGTCGGCGTAGAAAATGGAGAAGAAGAATACAAGGAGAGTATCTTTAACTTCGACATAGCCATTAAGAAATAAGCAAGCAAAGTAGTGACCAGAAGCCCTGAACATACTTTGAATAAGCCAAGACAAAGGGCAATCTTCTTCGAGAAAGCTGCCAAGAGCTTGAAAAACATTGCGGTGGTCAGCCATGGCCTCAGGTCTTATAACCCTAATGGTTCTCACCTCGGTCACAAAGGACTCTGGCCACCAGGAATGAGAACTGGCTCAGGCTTTATTTAGAAGGCAGTAGCAGTGACAGAGGGAAGAATCATAGTCACATCTGAGTTTACAAAGATCTTTCCCAAGCAGCTTGGAGGACATAGGAGAGGAGTAAAATCTGACAATGAGGAGAGAGCAGAGGAACCCATTTCTTGTGTTCTCTAAGGGGGCCTTTCAGCCGCAGTAACCATGCTGAATACAAGCCACCAAGTTACCTCGATTCCCCGGTGGAAGATGTAATTATGCTTTTACTTAAGGAAAGCCACAGATGTGCTGGAAACTCTTAAGCCAATTAACAATCACCTTGGAAGCAGACATATAGTTAGAAGTGCAATTCATGAACTTGTTTATGGGAATAAATGACTCTTACGTGTCCAAAGTTCTAGTTCATTTTAGGACTTGAATTCCAACAAATAACATTTTTGCCATGTCTCTGGCTTGCCAGTCACCCTAAATAATAACTTCTGTTCTTCCAGTTATACTTTTTAATTGTTCTATTTTGTTTTAATGTTGACTTGCAGAAGGGCTTTCAGTCCCTGGTATCCAGTGAGGTAAGATAACATAATAAACATTTCTGATTTATTACCAAGCCAGATGTCATTGACCAAAGCAACTGCCTTTCTGCCCAGCTTCTAGGAAACTCAGAGACAGAGTTCAGTTTTGGTAGTCCAGGTCTCTGGTCTCTTTCATTTGTGTTTGTTTGTTTTGTTTTTTGAGGCAGGGTCTCACTATGTAGTCCAAGCCAGACTTGAACTCTCACTATGCAGGTAAGCTGGCCTTGAACACTCAGTAATCCTCCTGCCTCAGCCTCCTAAGTGCTGGGACTACAGACACATACCACTATGTCCAGCCTTTTCTATATTTTTGATATAGTTATCTACATCTCTCGTGCCATTAGGGGTCTTCATTTGTTAGGGTCATTGTAGTTGCCTCATGTGTATGTATAGGTGTGTGTTCTATGTTGTAAGCACTGCAAATCCTTCTCAGCCTCACAGACCCCTTTGGACTTTTGCATAAATTCCTGCACCCACCTCTCCCTCTGTGGAGACAAGCTGGAGGCTCTTGCAAAGGCGGGGCCCAATGCTCCACTGCTGATGGTGATTCAAGCACTCCCCCACGTCCACACACTGCAGCCTTTTCCTTGACTTCGCCACGTCCACATCCACTGTGAAGTTGAGTGACTTCTCTCTGAGGCCTGTGGGGTGAAGACCAGACTTCTTGATGAGGCTGAAATGGCAAGGCCCAGAGAGAGGCCCCCAGCCTGTGGAGGCTCCTTGGGAACCCCGCCTAAATACTGCCCCTTGTGGACACTTCCCTGGGGCACTTTCTGAAGAGTCCTTCATTTCACTGTCCTGGCACTAGCCAGGATCCCTCGGCCGCCTGGCCCCACATCCAGCACATTTCCTGGGCTGGGTTTGCCTTCGTTTGGGAAGGAAGGGATTGGGCAGGATGTTGGGATGGAGGGAGAGACAGGAATTAGAAAGATAAACTAGAGTAAAACCTGAGCATAAGAGAACAGGGAGCACCTCAGCAATCACAGGTCAGCTCTCTTATTGTGCAAGACACAAACAAACCAGGGCCCAAGAGGGAAAGACACATGCCTAATGTCACAAAGCCCTCAGCAGGCTCTCCGTGCCCAGAACTGATAGGTCAGTCACTTTCTGCCTTAGGTTGATAACAATGCCCTAGCAGCAAGCCCACCTAGGGCTTGTTACTGAGTGATTCAGCTTTGGGGCTACTGCTGAGAGATTGTTCTGGAGGAACCCCTGGGTTGGGACAGCCAAGCCTGCCCTCACTTTCTGGAAAGTCTCTCAATGAAGGTTAGGTAAGGGACGGGGAGGCCGGGCCCCCAGCAGGTTAACCAGCCCCACCTGAGCCAAGAGACCTCTGAAGAAGGGAAAATTGTAATTCAACAAGAGGACCAGTTCTTCTTCTGCAACCTTAAGGAAGAGCTCCAAAGCCCCTCTCCCCAGCCAAGTGAAATGTGACATCAGATCCCCCTTTTCCTGGTTTAGTTCGCATTTAATGGAACTTAATGAAAAAAACCTGGAATCTAGCAGAGCAATATCAAGTACCAGGAGCTCGCACCACCCCTATCCCAGCCCTCCTTCCCTATCCGCTACAGAAGCCAGCAGGCAATGGCCACAACATCAGAGGGGCCACTTGGCTGCCCGTTACCTGATTCAGCTGCCGCGGTTGTGGGGCTCACTTCAAAACACAAATGTCCATTCACACTGCCGGTGAAACCAATGGGCAGTGCACTGGGGGTGAAGGTCATGGACACCTTCAAGTGAACCACAGGTCGTGAGCTAAACAAAACAGCAAAGAGAATATGAGAAGTAATCACATGACTTCAGAGCAGAACTTGGCTGCTTCATTCATGCATTTGATGAGCATCAGGGAACATCTCCAATTTGCAGGGGGTACTCTATGTCCCTAGGAGACAGTGGAGAAACATACAAGTCCCTGCTTAGTGGAAAAGCAGATGATGAGGGACCGTGCTGGGTGGGTCTGGGAGGAACACATCAAGAAGCCAGTTCACCCTTCTTGTGAGCCAAGCAGTGTGCAGACTGAGAATCAAGACCCACCACAACCCTAGTAAGCAAAAGGCTGGGAGATAGCAACTGAGGTACAAAAGGACCTACATGCTTATATTATTTGATTGACTCTGCAGGTCTGGGGCTAGTGGTCTGAGAATCTGTAGGAGGATAACAGCATGCAATAAGCAAACATGGGGGATTTCCTTCTGTCTTGTTTTTGAAATCCAATTTTGTTTTCATTGTTTTGTTTTGTTCTGATTAATCATTTTGCTTTATTTACTGTTCTATTTTGATTGGTTTTATTGCTTATTTTATTTGAATTTACTGTCTGACAGAATGGACAACTATTGTGAAGATAACAAGGTACATTATGGTAGACATTGCTAATTTCCTATTATCCTGCTTCAAAGTTCTGTACCACTTTCTCTGCTTTGTTTTAATTAGCTTTATTCTGATTTGTTTTGTTCAGTTTTATTCTCTTTAAAAAAAGAAATAAAGAAAGAAAAAGAAAAGCAGACCACAAGCAACTAAACAAGAAAGAATAGGGAAATACTATGTCCTGATACGGCTATGATACAAACAAAAGAGGGGCTGTAGAAATTAGGGGCTGGACTGGATGGCCAGGGATGGCCTTGCTAATGAAGAGGGGCTGAAGAAGAAATCTGTTAACAAGAGCGAGCCCGTTACGTGAAGATCAGAGGAAGAGCGCTCTAGGCAGAAGGCCCAGCCACACAAAGGGCCTTTGGCAGGAATGAACTTAATTTGTTGAGAAACAAAAAGATCAGTGTGGCAGGAGCATAATTAGTGAGACAGAGTGCAGTAACAGGATGAAGAGACTGGAAGGACAAGCAGCGCCAGGTCACAGAGAACCCCGAGAGTCAGGGCGAGCAATTGGGATTTTACTCTTGGTGGGAGCCGCAGAGGGTTTCGGGCAGCAGAGTGAAGGGACCACTGGCTGCTGGGTGGAGAAGGGAACTCACAGAGAGGAAGCAGGGAAGATGTTTTGGAGACAGAGCCAACAAAAACTTGTTGCTGGGGTGGCAGAAAAAAGAAAAGGTGGAATCAAGGTGGTTCAGGTTTTTGTCCTGAGCATGCTAGTGAATGACAGCCCCAACTTGCCAAGGCCAGAAGCCTTGAGAGGAAGGCTTGCGGGGAGGAAGAGTGAGTGAGAACCAGAGTCACTGGACCTGTTCACTTTGAGGTATCCCTGAGGGCAGCCAAGATAGGTGTCGAGGGGGCAGCAAAGCCCAGTGTGTACTGGAAGAGCTTGGGGGCAAGGAGGTGGTGGTATGTACAGCCTCGGGCTTGACTCACTTAGGGGTGAAGCACAGAGGCCCTGACACTAACAATAATAATAATAATAATAACAATAATTAGAGCCATAACTCAGCACTGTGCTGTGGGCACAATGTTTATTCCCAACTATGCATAAGAGGGTGGGAGGACTTAACGTTAAACACTCTACCCAGAGACACACTGGAGCTTGGCTCAAATGAGAGCTCGGCTCAAACCCAGACAAGCAGACTCCACAACCTGCGTCCTCAACAGCCTCACTCCCGCCCTCCTCCTTGGAGCCTGGTGTCCACAGGTATCTCTCAAGAGCAGGGCAGAGGGTGGGCCCGGCCAGGGAGCCCACATGGCAGGGCAGACCCCTACCGGAGAACGGTTGCTCGGCCCATTGTGCCCACAGTGATGTCAGCAAGGCCATCGCCACTGAAATCTAAGCCACCAGCCACAGACACACCAAAGTAGCGGAGTCCTGGGGCCACGGCAGAGGCTCTGATCCACTGTAGAGGGAGAGACACAAGCACGAGGTGAGAAGGAGGAGAAAAGCAGACGCTCTTTCTCATTCTGTTCAATTCAGCATCGTCCCCCCTGCCTACCCCAGGAAGCCTTTAACCTACAAACAGAAAGATGGGAGATTTCCCAGAGCAAGGGACATTTGAGTGGAGCCTGAGACTTGATGGACAGATTAGCAGGGCTTCTCTGAGGAAACTGCCAGGGGCTGGGGCGGTGGATGGGGGATGAGGAGAAGAATCTGGAGGAAACAGGGCTGGATGTGAGGCTGGGGCATTGTCAAATACTTTTCTGAGTCAAGGTCACATTTTAGAATGCACGGAACACGTGGGTGGAAGACGGGCAGGAGGCCGGAGCCCGGCCAGGGGGGAAATCCAGGGCACAAACATCAAGGCAGATCTGGGATAAGATGGGGGGATGGAGAGAAGGGGCTGGATTTGGGAGAAGGCTAGAATCATCAGGACATAGGGCCCGACAAGCCATGAGGGTGTCTTCTGTCCTCCCAACCACCAGCACTGAGGGCCTGGGTGAACATGGTGCTCTGAAAGCCTGTCTGGAGGAGATCATAGCCCAGAGATAAGGCAAGAGAGAGACCCACAGTCACCTGTGAGGGCTTGGAGGAGAGGCCATCCTGGTGTCCGTTGTAGATGTACACACTGCCAAAGCTGTCCCCGTCATTCATCTCCAAACCTTCCAGGGGAGCCCCAATGGCCACATCTGTGAACTTATCCTGATTGATATCGCCCACAGCTGCCATGGCAAAGCCAAAGCGGGCACTGGGGAACCCAGGACATCCACTCAGTATGTGCGCCAAGGAGAAGGAACCATCCTGCAAAGCAAACCAATAGCTCAGCCCTCCTGAAAGGCACGCAGAGGGCCACACCGCTAGCACCTGAGGAGCATGCTCACAAGCTTGTGACTCTATTCTGCAGTGAATCTGTGGCTCAGAAAAGATTCAGGACCTTTCCAAGGTCACACAGCGGGCCAGTAGCAAAGCAGAAGTCTTCCTGAAGGACTCCAGGACTGCCCCTTCCACTCCCACAAAGTACTGAATTGGCAACTGGAAGGCCTGGATCTCTAGCATACTTGCTAGCCAAACTTGCAAGCCTCAGTATCATGGAGACTCACTGAACCTTAGCTTCCTCATCTGTAAAATGGGAGTGACAGCCACTTCCTAAAATTATTATGATAAGCAAGTAAATTACAGACTGCACATCCTTTGCCAACCACAAAGCCAGGAGGGATATTATCATGGACCCTGGGGTGGAGAGGGAGAGGCCGCTGTCCTCCATGGGCATTCCTTGTCAGTGTCCACTACAGCCAGGTAGGGCCAGAGCTAGCCTGCTTTCTGCCACCTTCGTGCTTGGCTGGCAGCCACAGCCCCAGCAAGCTCCTGGGACCAGAGGTTCTCCCACCTGCTTGTGTAGACTGTACACGTAGACTCGGCCTTTTTCGCCGTGGTCGTGGTAGAATGGAGCAGCCACCAGCAAAACGTCTGTGATCCCGTTCATGTCGACGTCCACAGGGCACAGTTCAGAACCAAAGTAGGAGCCCAACTACGGCCCAGGAGAAACTAAGCACCTGGGAAGTACCAGGGAGACCCTCCTCCACCCCTTAGCAAGGCTGAGCCCTGCTTATGCCCTTCCTGGGTCCCCAAAATGGGCTTGTTCCAGAGCAGCTTCTTGTCAATGACACAGGGAATCAGCTGAGCACCCCAGGGCCCACAGTAGGGACTGCCTGGCAGACACTCAGAGCTGCTGGGTTCTACCCAGGAACCTAAGCTTTGCCCAACAGGGTCCCTACCTTCCCCCGGGGCCACCAGAGCCCTATCTATAAGAAAGGAGGGGCGTTCCCCACAAGGTACCTGCTCCCCTTCCTGCACAAAGGTAGCCTCCTTGCTCTCAGGCCGGAGCTTGAACACCGCCCCACGTTGCCTGTACCGTGGAGCGCCCGCAATGTAGGACACGCCATGGGCGTTGTGCAGCACGGCCACTGAGTAACCTGAGCAGGTGGTGCCACCATACAGAGGTGCTCCCCGAGCACTCCACTGAGCCCCACCTTCCCAGTCAGGCCTTCCCAGAACTCTGGTGACGCGCCACACCAATCACACACATGTGCTGCACACACGTTACCATGCACATGCTCTGCTCAGAATATACTTGTGTACACACATTTCCTGCTCACTCACATGCACCCTCTGGACTTAATGGAGAAACCCTGGCCCTCCCCTACCTAGTACCCAAGCCCATTCTGTGCCCACCCAAAATATTCAACCCCAGGGTGCCTAACTGGGGCCCATTCTGTGTGGCCTATGTGACCAGCCAGGACCTTTCTCTACCAGGATCTCATTGTGCAACTAACCCTGCCCCCAGCATACCAGCATGGCCCCATCCTCACCCGGGGAGCGCAAAGGCCCTGTCCTCACCCAGGTAGCTGTACTGTGCAGCTCCTGCGTCTGCTGCCGAATGGTTCAGGAAGCGGCCCCAGCGGCACCGGGTGTCATACAGCAGTGCACCTCCAGACCAGTTAAATGCCCCCACAGCCCCAAGGAGCACCTGACCCTGCAGAGGACAGGGGTGGGGCCGAATGAGAGGCAGGGACCCAGGTGCCAGTGCAGGGCACCTTGCTGGAAGCAGAGGAGTCTGGCAGCATGGTATAGCCTGGCCAAACTGCATGCAGGAAGGCAGGAGGGCAAACACGGTCCTTGTCCAGTGCCCATAACCCATCACTCCAGAAGCTGAGCACTACCCACTACCCACTACCACTACCCACATACCGAGCACTAAAACAAAAAGTATGATTAGCCTGACAGGGTGGCACTTTCCTATCAGCCCAGCACTCTAGTAGGTTAAGGCAGGAGAATCACAAGCCTGGACAACTTTTTTTAAGTGGACAGCTAGTGTAGCTTCGTATGAAGGCCCTGAGTTCAATCCTCGATATTGAAAAAAAATTCTGATTGAGCAAGATGGCATTCAAGCGCTTCCCCTTCATCAGAGCCCTCCTGGTTGCTAACTATGCTTCCACCATGAGCAGGTTGGTATTTCTCTCTACTGGTGGGAGAAGTAAGATACTGGCTTGGAAAGCCAGCCCAAGGCAAAGCCAGGTTTACTTGAATGTCTAAAGGAATGTCTAAAGACACACAACAAAATGTCCTCCTGTAATAAAAGTGACCATTCCTTTGTCCATCTCAGTGGTTCAGATTCGAGAGAGCAAGCAGGTGTGTTTCCCATCACCCTAAAATGACTCCTCCAGAAGCATCAGCACAGGGTCCCACACTGGGAGCCCCTGAACCCCCGCCTGCCCCACGTGGACCACAAACCTCATCCAGGATCTGGGCGCTGAAGCCAGTCTGTGCCAGCTGGTAGCGAAGGGCCTCTCCCACAGTACCTGGAAGCCAAGAAGCCCAGTGAGATGCTGCCACATGGGGGTGGAAGTTTGATGTAACAGCAGGAGCCCTGGGCTGAGAATGGAGACTTGAGTTGTGTTTTAGCAGCTCCTGGCTGGGTAGACTTGGGACGCTTACTCCCTCTTTCGGAGCCTCAGTTCCCTCCTCTGTGAGTCTTGGGAGGAGGATTGTGTCCCCACTTTCCTTGCTTCTCCAGCACTAGCTCAGTTCGTCAGAGCTTCATGGAGACTACGGGAGAGGAGGGTTGGGGACCCCATTGCCTCTACAGAGATGACCAGCAAAGGCCTGGCCTGGTGAGAGTTCAGAGAGGCCCTCAGAGCTGGTGGGGCAGAGGGCTGGAGTGCAGACCGGGGGCTTGCGCTGAGTGCTGAGAGGCTGTGGGCCCGCTTGGGCCTCACCTTCTGTGTGGATGATGCTCTGCTGCAGTTTGCTTAGCAGCCCGTTCAGCGCTGTGTAGTTGGTCACCTTGAAGGCATGGGTCTCGCTGGGGGTCGAGGCGATCTGCTTCAGTTCCCTGTCAGTCTTAACTTTCTCGAAGGCATTTCCCACCTGCAGAGAGACCCCGCGCAGTGAGTGCTCCAGATCTAGCCTCTTTCCCTCGATGCTCCGTGTTTTCCCCATTCCACTTTGGACAAAAATCTGGTTTTGCTACACATGCTTTTTCCCACCACAGATGCTCTACACAGAGCCCTTCCCACCTCCTCCAGGTCCTTGGCTAAACCACTCCTGCTGGTCTTCCCGGCTCGGCTCAGACCAGCTCCTCCAGAAACCTTCCTGTGGGTTCTCCCCACCACACAGGCCAGGGCACTGTGATGGCAGCTAGGAGATGGAACCTTCCTTAGGAAGACCAGTAGGGGCACGGGACCAGGGGCCAGGAGAAAGGAAGGGGGTCTATGATTAGAGGGGTTTGGGTGCATTATTTCTAGAAGCCCCTTCTACAAGGTCCTCTCCATCCTGGCTGCACTGGGTCAGGAGTCGTCTCCCTGCTCCAGGGTCTTACCCCAACAGCAAAGCGCTCCACACCCTGCATCTTTGGTGAGCTGATAACAGACGTGAGGTTGAGAGGGTCCTCAAATATGTCACCGTCTGTGAGCACCACCATGACCTTGGATGCCTTTTCTCTGGAGCCACGGCTTGGCGTGAAGATGTTGTCTCTACACAGGAGAGGGAATGGAGGGAACTTTGCTGGAGGATGACTGTGCTTTGGGGGAGATTCTATTCACTGTCCTGTTTTAGAATTGGAAAGGGTTAACACATACCCTCCTCCAAGGGGAACAAAGGCACAAAGAAGGATGAGGATATCCCTGTCACACAGTGAAACATCTGCCACTCAGGTCTTCTGCTCCTCACCTGATCCTGATAGAATGAGGCTCGACAGTGTTTAAGTCCATCCCATGTGTACTGACATTAAAATAGGGGGTAAAACTTACAGAGCACTTATTGTATGCCAGGTGCTCTCATAAACATTATATGGACTTGAACAAAATCTATGAGGTAAGGACTAACATTAGCCTCATGTCAAAAGTGGAAAACAGAAAGCGAGGTGTGATGGCATGTGTCTGTGATCCCAGCCCTCTGGAGGCTGAGGCAGGAGGATCATTGTGAGTTCAAGACCAGCCTGGGCTCAAAGTGAGCTCAAGGCCAGCCTGAACTGCACAGTGAGACCCTGTCTCAAAAAGAAAAAAGAAAAGCAGAAAACAGAATCATAGAGAAGCCAGGTAACTTGCTCAAAGTCACACACATACAAGCTCAAGCCAGGATTTGAACCCAGACATCGTGTTAGCTTAGCACTCTGCCGCGTTGTGTCAGAGAAAGAAGTCCTTAGGAGAGTTTCTAGAGGACAGTCCCTCCTCTCTCAGGTCTGTGCGGTCACCTCCTCCAGGCATGGCTGCCAGTAAGCAGCCCACACTCACAGGACGTGCTGCATAGCTGAGGCAGTCTTGGTGACATTCCCCACTTGTATTATGTTCTGTACTCTGGCAAGGGAGGCATTCACATCCTGGCTGTCCCGAAGGTCAAACTCAGTCTGGATCACGGCTCCATACTGCACCAAGGCAAAGTTGCACTGGAGAGGAGGGACAGGGGGAGGAGGTTGGCAGAGGTGCCCAGCTCCAGACCTCTCTTGCCTCCAGTTAGCTCCCCTTGGAAGCACTGGGAGAATCAGCTTGTCTACCATGTCTCCAGGCAGAAGGAGAAGCAGGGAAATCTCCACTCAAGTAGGGGTAGTAGACAGCGTAGGCCATGACTCCCAGTGAATTGGATTTCTTCCTGAATCTTCCCTTCCATGTTGACTGTGAGATTGGCCACGTGACTTGCTTTGGCCAGTGGGACACTGGCCAGTGCCTGCACTGAGCCTTTCCCGGTTGGGATTCTGGTGCCATAAAGTGGTTAGGCTGGCATGCTGAAACACATCACCCAGACAAATGAGTGGCCGTCTAGTTGCAGCCAAGCACCCTGTAGGGTTGTCTGCAGCTGCAGGGTGACCAAGAAAGACCCACAGAAGAGCCATTCGGCTGAGCTCAGCCCAAATATCTGATCCGCAGAACCATCAGCAAATAAAACAAATACAAGCTCAAGCTATTTCAAGGTTGTCACCCAGAGATAGACAGGTGATGGACTACACGAAACCACAGCCAAGGGAAACCCACCTCAAAACATTTTTCATAGAACATCTTCATCATGTTGGAGATGAATTCTTTGGCTTTCTGGAAGTCTGGAGGATCAATGCTTCCTGAGCCATCCAAGACAATGGCGATCTCAGTGCCTGGCCAAGATGGCAGAGCAGGTCAGGTGGGCATGTGCTTTGTACAGGAGCAAGGGCAGGACATCCTACCTTTCAGCAGGACAAACACCTGCCTCAAGCCGCAAGGCCCATTTCAATGGAGAAGCCATCAAAGGTCCCAAGAGTGAGGCTCTTGTTTCAGAGGCAAAGAAAGAGCTAGAATATGCATGGGCTCTGACTCGCTATGAATCACTACCATGAATCCCCTCTCGGGATCTCAGCTTCCCCATCTGTGAGATGGAGGTGCAGAGGGACTGACCAGCCTCTGCCCACCCCCATCTTCCAGACCTGGGCACACCACACCTCTGGAAGCTGCCACCTGGGAGTCAGCTCTGGGAACCCCACATCTTTCCCTTCTCACCAGCTTCCTCTGCTTCTTCCTCTTCCTCCACCTCCTCCAGAGCCCTGGACTTCCTAGCCCTGTTCTTCGCCTCTGTGCGTCCTTCTGTGTTCCTGTTGCAGTCATGAACATCCACATACGTATCTGGATCCAGGAGATTTTCTTCAAGAAACACACAGAGAATAGCTTGGATCAGAAGGCTCCATGGTTCCCCAAGACAAGCTCACAGTTAGCTCTGCAATGACCCTTTCATGAGGCATTGTCCGGCCTGCCTTGGCCTACTCTGAGGCTCAGTGTTCCTCTTCCTCTGCTGTGGGCTGGTACTTCTCCTTGGAGACCCAAGGAGATCTCTTTAGGGCTTTCCAAAGCCAGAAATCTCCCCATCCTTACCAATGTCAGAGAAGTTGGCATAGGCCCGTGGGCGCAAGTCGGGAGCCAGCAGGCTGCAGGTACCTGTGAGTTCTGAGCTGAGGCTGTGGGGCCGCCGGCCCTGTGCCTGAACACATATCTGGGGAGGGGAATAGAGGGGAGCAGAAAGGCTGGGTCAACCCCAGGTCCTCTAGTCGCAACCACATTGGCACCTCTACCCTAGAACTCAGTGGCTCCACTAGGCAAGGGACATTGGAACAGCTGGCTCCCCTCACGAGGAGAGCTGGGATCAGAGCCCAAGTCCCCTCCCCTCCCCCCCCCCCACACACTCACCAAGATGCCATGGTGGCTCCGGACAACCGTCACACCCCGGTACTTCCCCTTTGGGACGAGGACATGCTCTGAAATAGTTCAGTAGGTAAGGAGGGAGAGGCAGGGTCTGAGTACTCAGAGCTGCCGTGATCAGGGCCCCTGAGAAGCCCCCAGAAGCTAGAGTGGGGGCTTCCAGGCAGGCCTGGACATAGCTTGGACATAGCACCTGTCCCTTGCCTCATTTAGTTTTTCAGCAAATGCCCTTTACTGTTTGCTCTATTCCCAGTCTGGTCACTGGTGGGAGTGGGGACCCAGAAATAACTACAGCCTGGGGCTTTACCTCATGAGGCTCCTGGCCTGGGGCACAGGCAGGCAGAAAAGCACAATGGGTCAGTGTGTACAGCACCAGAGAAGTGTGCAAGACACTGAAGGGATGCCTGAATGGACGCAGTACACTTGAGGCTTGAAGAGCAGTCTGTGAGGAATCTTGCAACCCCTCTACCCCTGGGACAGAGGTGGGAGCTCCGTGCCACCTCCACTGGGCATCAGGACACTGTCTTATATTTGAGCCACAACTGGACTATGGATTCATTTGGGCAGAAACAGTCTGCAGAGCTCAGCACCCTCACTGGGACAGCCAGGGCTGTCAGTATGTGGCTGCTAAGTTAGACCGGGGTCCGGGTAGATATGGCTGGTAGGTGAATCAGGCTCATGCCTTGTTCAAGTAGCACATATTACATGCCTAATACATGCCAGGACCCATGCTAGACCCTGGAAATACCACAATTAGACAGGAACAGGTGGGCTTGAGCTTCACGAGGTGTAAGGAATTGTGTTAGGATGGACAGGGACTGGAGTCAGCCTGAACGAGGTTTGCATCTGCAGGGCCGCCAGCTCTAGAGTTGTGACTTCAGTCACGCCGGACTTAACTTCTGTGAACTGTCACTTTTTCTCCTCTAAAGACGTGATTTTGAGGATTAAAAGTAAATGAAGCATGGGCAGATTTCCCGGCATACAGTGACAGTCAGTAAATCTAGGCATGGGTTCTGCGTAGGATCACACCAGGAAGTGGGGACCAAGACTGCTGGGAGGGGCCCCGGTGTTGGTGTGGAGGGAGGGCTCACTTGGAGGGAGTGAATGCGCTGGTATGAGTGTGAACCCCAGAAACAGAGCCCCGGGAGCCCTCCCTCGAGTTGAGGCTGACTTACCTACAGGTTGGCAAACGATTTCATCCTGGGCAAGGGAACATCGGTGCAGGGGTGCCGATGCCCTGTTGCTTCTAGAGCTGGTGACCAGGAGCCTGCGTGGTAGAGCAGACAGCGAGACAGACCTGGCTGAGGATGGCCTGTCCCTCAGTGCCTCTCAGAGTCTTCCCATCTCAGGTTCACAGCCCCCCAGTCTGGGGCCATGGAGAGAGCCCAGACCAGGGAAAGCAGGCAGATTGCAAGCCCAAGACCACAGCTCAGCACTATGGGAAGGCATTTGCTCAGCCCCTCCTGTACGAGCCCTCATTGGCTGTTGCCCACCTGCCAGAGATGGGGTGATTCTGCTTGTAAGTAAAGACAGCTCTCTTGTGGGGATGGGGTGGGGTTAGGAGGGAAACCAGGAGACCATCAGCATCATAGTGGTTCTTTGAAGGCAGTGCTGGCTTCCTGGCAGTAATCCAGAACTCAGTGATAGCACTTTCCTATCAGAAATGGAGACTGTGCTTCCTGACTGTGGGCACCTTTTCTCCTACCCCAAGCCCAGGCAGGGCAAGTCTCCGGTCAGCTTCAAATGTGTCACTATCCACGTTCCCCTCAAGCAGGACCCCAGTGTAGCAGGGCTGGCAGGGAAGCAGACCCGAGGCTTGGCTTGGTCACAGTGAACCCCATACGTCCAAGGCCCTCATACTGGGGGCAGTAGGAAGCTAGGGAGGACATCATGAAGGGGAAGCATGGGATCAGCCTGTGCTTCGGAAGTCACAATGTGGCTGCAGCAAGCTGGGGACACACTAGAGAGCACAGCATGAGAGACACTCCCCCAACTCCTGTCACTCCATTTTTAAAATGATGAAATGTCACATTTACATGGTTCACAGAACAGCACCTCTACCCCGTGCACATGCACTCACCCAGCCCAGGCTGACACAGACCTCATTATGGTCCCTGATGCCCCACAATGCCAAACCAGCGCACCCTTTCTGCCCTCATCTCCCTCGTCCTCTCAGCAGCCCTGGACATGAGTGGCCACCTCCTCCAGGACACACAGGCATACTTTTTTCCTGATATACCCTGCTCCCTCATTTTTCCTTCTTAGATTCCTTTGCTGACTCCTGCACAGTCTGACCTGTAAATGTCACCAGGATTTGGGGCTTGGTCCCCATCTTTCTAACCAGTACCTTCTCCCTCATGATCCCTTTCACCCCCATGACTCAAAGATGCCTGTCAGTGCTGAAGTTCCCCCCTTCACATCTGCAGCCCTCCAGCAGACCAGGGACCAGCCAGCTGTGGCTCTACTAAGTGACATAATCACCTTTAGGAGGTCCACGTCCTAATTTCTAGAATCTGTGAACATGCCACCTTCTGTGGCAACACAGATCTTGATTGAGATGGGGACCTGATTAGACGGGTACAGTGCCATTACAAAGGTCCTTATAAGAGGAGAAGCAGGAGGTCAGAGTTGAGGAAGGTCTGAAGCTGTGATGCTCCAGGCTTTAGGATGGAACAAGGGACCATGAACTAAGGAATGCGGGCAGCATCTGGAAACCATAAAAGGAAAGGGGGAGGACCCCAGTGCTCCCCTAGGACCTCCAGAAGAAACACAGTCCTGCTGATGCCTTCACGGCAGCCCAGTTGGGCCTGTTTCAGACTTCGGACCTCCAGAGCTTTACATCTGTGATATTGCAAGTGATCGAAATCGTGGTAACACGTTCCAGCAGCAGTAGGAAACCAATACAATATCCATAGCCCAACAGAACCGGTAAGCCAAGGAGAGCACGTGCCCTGGTCCTCTACACTCCAGCGGGAGCAGCTGGGAACCCTGTGGCTTTCACTCAGTCCTTTGTCCAGTCCATCCTCCGCCTCACTGGTTCCCTCTCCACCTCCTACCTCCTTGGAGGCTCCACCCCCTGTCTTCCCCACCACTGCCTGCCCACTACCATCTTTATATTTTAATAGGCTTTATTAACGCACCATTTGCTGCAAAGTATACAGATTTGCCTGGTGTTTTGTTTCAGTTTGAAGGTCCTAAGTTTGAGGTTACTTCTGAATCCAACACATAAAACAACTTACAAAAGTTAAGTCAGTGTTAATCTTTGTCTCTTAGCTTTCCGCCTTTGAAACCATTATGGGTTTATAACTGATATTTTTGCTGCCAGATAGGTATACTACTTTGTTTTGTTTTGCTTTGTTTTTGTGGGGGTTTTTTTTTGTGCCTACCATAGAACTAACATCCCCCGCTCCATACTATAATTATTATACTTGATAATCCTCTATACCGAAGTACATATCAGTACATCTTAAGGACTTACTAAAAATACACAATTTACACTAACTCCTTTTAATTAGCTGGAAAGTATTAGGGCTTTCAAACAGGAAATAACTACTTTTGTTTATTTTTTATTTCCAGAAAAAGCTGATGTATATTTAGCTAGTTTTTGTTGTTGTTTTGGGCTTTGAGGAAACGCTGGGGACAGAGCCCAGGGTGCCCTACCTCACAGCTTCGTTCTCAGCTTGTTTTTTTTGGTTTTTTTGTTTTTCTGTTTTGAAAGAGTCCTAAAAAGTTTCCCAGACTGGCTGCACCTTAAATTTACAGTTGTTATAATGACAATTTTGTTCTAAGACAGAGACAACACTAACTTCAACTCCAGCATGAGAAGAGAATCAAGAAGCCAAACCACGCCTTCCTGTGAGCCAGCTGGACCGTGGACCCCGCCCACCCCACCCCTCAGTCAGCAATGGGCGGATTCCGAGGAGCTCAGCAACTGAAGGAGAGGGAGCAGCTTAATGCTGTACTGTCTAATGGACTTCGCAGGCCTAAAGTTGGTAGTCTGAGCATCTATTTGGAGGATAACGCTATGCATTATAGCAACCGTGAGGATTTCCTTCTGTCTTGTTTTTGAACTCCAGTGTTTTGTTACGTTTTAGTGTTTTGTTTTATTCCTGTATCTGGTAACCTGAGCACCTAATTTGAAGGTAGCAATATGCAGTATAACAACCATTGTTAAATTCCTATCATCCTGTTTTGAAAACCTAGATAGCGATTGTTGTTTATTGTTGTTGTTAATGTCATTTTGCTTTTGTTGTTGGTGGTAGTGGTAGTGATGGAGTTTTTTGGTTTGTTTGCTTCATGATTTTTGTTTTTTCTTTTAAAAAAAAAATGAGGAACAAAACTCTCTACTCCAGAAGTCAAGATAGTGTCTAGATAGTTTCTAGATAGTTTCAAATGCTTCACTCTTCTTTGTGAACAATGCAAGAAGAGCCAGGCCCGAGGAGAGCAGTGACAGAACTCCCCAGGTGAAAATACCTGCATTTTTGAATTTCGATGACAGAGAGTACTGTTAGGGTAAATATGCAAATGTTTGGAACACACTTATAGGGGAAAAACTATTGCTTAGTTGAAATTAAAATTTGACTGGGTGTTAAAAAAAAAAAAACTTTAACTGCAGTTCATCTTTTTCTATGTCTGAAAAAAGATGCAATTTTTTTGATATTTAAAAAATTTTTTTCTTTTGATGCTGAGAACAAACCTAGGGCTTCCAGCTTGCTAACCAAGCACTCTACATTGAGTTAAACCCCCAGACCCTCAAGTATTTTTTTAAATCTTTTTAACAGAAAACCTGAATGACTTCCTTTATGTGAGTTTGATTTCAGAGCACCCACTGGTTATGGTGCTATATTTATGCAACTTGTTTTAATTATAAGAGAATAATTCATACACTATATTTGAAGCATATAATAAAATTTTCACTGCATCTCTTCACAATTTTCCTTTTTGTAACATTTCAGTTGGAGGAAGACTAGATTGCTTGGTTTTAAGATTTAGATAAAGGGGCATAAGCACCTGCCTTGCAAGCAGGCGGTCGTGAGTTCGATCTCTGGTACCGATAAAAAGAGAAAAAGAAAAAAAAATTGAAAAAAAAAGATTTAGATAAAGCTCATAGTGAACGTCTAATACACACTTAGACATGTAGAAGTATATGCGAAAAGGACTATGAAGGAAGAATGAAAATTGTAACGGAATTTTTCTAGTAAAATGAAAGCAAGCACTTTGGATTGCCCAAAACACATCACACACAGACTCTGAAATCATGTAGTTTACTTGCTGACCACGTGACTACAGTTTAAACAGTTACAGCCTCGGAAGTTGTACCTAACAAGCTTCCAAAACTGCTGTGAAGTTAAATTCTTAAATTGCAGTAATAAACAAAACACAATAAACTTAATACTGCAGTTTACTTAAAAAATACACTTAAGAAAAACTCTTATTCTTTAAGATTTATAAAAACATTTTGACTAAATTATAAACATGTAATTATTTGCAAGAATCTAGTAATGCTCTCAGCAGTTATAAGATCAGAATTTTAAAGAACGCTGAAGGCATAAAAATACTAAGCCCCATTTTTTACCTGTAGACCATATCCATCTATGCCTACATTTCAGGGTTTGCCACTTCACCGTTGCTCTCATTTGAAAAGTTACAACCAAAAGATAAGACAAAACCACCTATGAATTGGCATCTCTATTTACTTCTGTTTGTGAAAACGTCCTTAATTTCCTGATGTGGCAAATAAATTTCAACTCTGACTGTTATGCAGAAAACAGAAGACAACCCGCTTTGCAATTAACATTATGGTTCAACTGCATGCCCGCAACATGCTGTATACGAAAAAATTACTGCCCAAACTACAAGTATTAGACACTGAAAAGCTAAGTTTATTCATGCTTATTTATTTAATAAGCTAGGAAGTTTGCAGCCATCAGCAGTTCCAGGGCTAATTCAGGTGCGATGGGAAATTTGAGAATCTCGGCGGGGCTGTTCGTACACTGAACCTTGGAGGTAAGATACGTGCAGACTTTGGAAAACACGTGTGAAGGAGTTTCTCTAAAACTGACCTCATTGGTTTTGTTTTCAGTAAACTAAACTGAGCCACCCAACGCGGCTTCTACTGATTCTGATTTTAAGCAGGTTCTCTTTTTATGAGAAGTTCATGACCAACAGAAGACAGCAATTTGACATGCATCACATAAGAGCCTTCACGACTACAGATTTTTCTCCTCACCAACCATTATGTTTGTATGTAATTCTGCCTGGGCTCCACAGGAACTTTAGTAGTTTCCTGATCCAATTTCTGTAGAGGTGCTCGGGGCTCACCCCATCCTGGGCTTTGCAGTTTTTCTGGCAGAGCCTGGTGGGATTTGGCCACCACCATCATCCTGCCTGGCCTAGAGTAACTTGCCTCTTCTATTGCCTTTTTCTTCTTAATTGATTGTTACACTATACACTATGCACAACAGCCTCCCATGCACTTAGAAAACAAGTTGAAAGCCTGGACTCTGTACAGTCCAGACCCTCCCTGCCTCTCAGGCTGCCTCCGTCCCTTGGCTAATGGTCACCTCTTCACTGAATGCTTTCTCAAACCAACCTGGCCTCACAACCCAGTTATGTCTGCATCACGTTTGATTTTCTTCTCAGAATTTCTCATCACCCAGTAGTATATTGTTCGTTTGTTTGTTTACCTGCTTACTACCAGTCTCCCCCACTAACCAGTGAATTCCGTGAGGGTTTCCTTCAGCTGTTCACCACAGGATTCCCAGGGCTGGCCCAGTGCTGGCCCAGTGCTGAGCACAGAGCAAAGGCTCAGTAAATATTTGTTGCATGACTTAAAGGCAACCAAGGTAACCACTGAGGACTGATCTGTGGTGGGCAGGGGGGTGGAAAGCTAGGTGCAGCTAAATCTCCAAATTAGGTCACTGCTCAGCAACCCTGCTTCTCTTCCCAGAAGCCCCCCAGTCCTGCACCTTGTTCCCAGTCTCTGCTCCCCATCTTTTCATCCTCCAAGCCCAGGGATGTCCAGATTTGTTGACTAACTGAATGAAAAACAACTTAACACTGGCTGACCACCTCTGATAAAGGACTTGCCATCATCCACTGACAACCCCAGGGACTGTGTACCATGCTGGGCTGGGTACAGCCCTGGTACCCCATGTCCATCTCCTGCCTCTCTCAGTTATAACCCGTCCCTTTTCTCAGAGGCCACTCCCATATCTCCTAGGTGAGGCCTGCCTTATGTCTTACTCTAGCACCCAGCAGTGGCCAAGGCCAGGATGCTGGCAGCTCTAATCTGTTATATGCTAGGGACAACACCATCCCTGCACTCCCGGGAGCCCAGCCCACCCCTCTCTCTATGACCTGGGCAAGCCAACTGGTACATTTCCTGCCCTGCAGCAGTTCGTGGTCTCCAACTCCATCTGCAGAGAAACCCAGCAGAGCCTCCATCAACCACATCCTCCTCCTCCTCAGCATGTGCAAGTCTGTGAGCCCCCTCTGCACCAACAGGTGTTCAGGGAGGTGGCCGGGCTCCCCACCCTGTCTTTTGGTGGCTCCTAGCCTTCTCTGTACCAGAGGCTTCAAACACAAACACCCTCATCTGCCTTGGCCTTGGACTCTGAGGGATGAGGCAGTGAAGTGTACGGGGCCAGGGGGGACCCACTGGAGTAAGGATGTCCCAGACTAGGAAATACTGGCTTTTATTTCATCTTCCTGTACCCCAAATCCTGACAACAGTCTCAGCTTCAAACCTTCACAGGGGACAGCCTGGGCCATCTCCCCAGGCTCACGTCCCTCTCTCTGGGAGTTCTCAGTTCCTTCTGGCCACCTCCAGTGGCCAGCAGCTCTCCTTGCCTGGACTTCCCTTTTGCCCTTGTCATGCTACTTCCTGCTCACCCCCACGTCCTGCTGGAGATGCTGAGGAGCACTCTCGCCCCTGTTTCTGCACCCCTCGGCTGTCATGACTCTTGTCACGCTCACCCCATGACTCTTGTCATCTGACCTGTCATTTCCCTCTCGAGCCCAGGAGCTCTGTGATGGTGCTGTGTGGCCCTGTCTCCTCCACTATCTCGTCTTCCAGCCTTGCTTGGTGCTGGATGTTCTGTAACTACTTCATGAATGAGTGAGCCAGTGAGTAAGTGACCTAGATCTGCCTTTAACACTTCAATCCACTGATTAAACCCAATGAACAAGCCTCCGGCCCAGCCCCTGACACAACTTTTGTTGTTTGAGGAATGCATGCTGGGCCAAGAGCTGACACATAATCTCAGCGTGCAAAGAGTTCATCTCTAGTCGTAGATATTTTATGACTTATAAAGCATTCATATAATTAGGAAACACCTGATTAATAGTGATATTTCAGTTACAGTGTTTGGTTGCAAGCAACAGAAATTCACTACTGATAATCTAAGCAATCAAAGACTTCTCACTGTGAGATGAGGAAGCCAGGATCCAGAGAGGAACCTGAGACTGCTTGGGTGGCAGGATCACGGCCCACACCTCAGGGCCCATGCACTGCTCACCTACCCTCCCCAGGCACAGCTACTCTGCTCAGCATCCTGAGTGGCTCCCTGGCTCTGTCCCAAAGCCTGTCTGGGCCCTGGGCTCACCTGCTTATGCTGAGTAGAAGGCAAACCCTTGACCACTGACCAGGAACTGAGCAACAAGCGTGGGATGGGGAGGGAGCAGCATGGGGCTGGGCTAGAGTATGACTCAGTGGCAAGGCAAGCGCAGAAAATGACCTGTCATGAAAAAGAGGCGGGAAACACAGAGGAAGAGCAGCTGCTTCATATACGACTAAAAAAACATAACACCAATATGCAATATGGGAACCATGGCCAGATCCCAGCTTTAATGCACACAGCTCTAAAAGTCACTTTGATAGGCCAGGCAGGGTGGCATGTGCCTATGATCCCCGCACTCAGGAGGCTGAGGCAGGAGGATCATCTCGAGTCAAAGCCAGCCTGGGCTGTAGAGTGAGTTCAAAGATAGCCTGAACTACAGCAAGATCCTGTGTCAAATAAATAAATAATCACTTTGATGACAACGGGAGAAACTGAAATTGTCCTCAGATGTCACCACTCTCACTCCTGACCCTGCCCTAAATCCAGCTTCGCCCCTGAACATTGTCACCTTCTGCTGAAGACATGTCTGACTCATCCCATCGTGTGTCTGCCCCTAAGCTCCCTGACCCTGGGGGGTTTTTGTTTGCCTTGCTTGATACTTCAGCCTCAAACCTGGCACATAGTAGGTGCTCACAAGTAGGTGTTAACTGAATGACCACTGTAAACACAGTACCCCAACTTGCCGTTCGGTCTCACAGCGTTTCGAGATCAGTCTGGATTAATCCTTATACACAAGTCTTGTTCCCCTGACTGCTTCTGGTGTTGCGTCATGTGATTACATCTTATTTCCCCAGTGATGAGTATTTCCAACCTTTCACTTTAGCAAGTGACGCTACGATCAGCATTTTTACATGCGAGCCTGGGTGTGGAGCTCAGCAACAGAAGAGGCTCCTAGCATCTCAGTGGCCTTGGGTTCAACTCCCAGCTCCACAGAAAACAGCTAGCATGGGCTGGGGTGGGGCTCACCGGCAGAGCATGTGCTTAGGATGAGGCTCTGGTTCCGTTTCAAGCCCCATATTACACAGGTTTTTTCTCCACAGACTGGATGCTGGTGTGCTTGTCTCTAGGGTCGGTGTCTGAGTTAAAGGCCCTGTGCATCCTCCGTTTTACTGGAGACAACAACACTGCTCTCCACAGTAGTGACAGCCGAGTCCCCACATGCCTGCACACAGACTGCTTCACTGCATCCCTTACCAGTGTGGAACCGACAGGTTTACTTTTTTTTTTTTTTTTTTTTTTGGTCATCTAATGGGTGGATACAGATGATATTGTCATTTTTTTTATAGATTCATTTACGTTTTTGCAGTGCTGCAGATTGAACCAAAGGCCTCATGCATGCTAGGCCAGTGAAGAGGATATTTTTAAAACATCAGTTAGTGTTTATTAGCCTTAATTTGGCCAGAAACTACACAAAGCCCAGCAGATGTGTTATCTCAGTTTTTGCGACAACCCTGTGGGGTAAGTAAGTCACCACCTCCCTGGTAAGAAGAGAAACTGGGGCTCCTGGCAGAGGTCCTGTTAATGCTGCCCAGCAAGTGCAGGGTGAGGTCACCCCTGGACAGAGACTCCAGAAATGCAGCTGCCCCTTAAAACCGCCAACTTAGGGGCTGGGGATTTAGCTCAGCGGCATAAGCGCCTGCCTTGCAAGCAGGCAGTCGGTGAGTTCAATCCCCGGTACCGATAAAAAGGAAAAAGACAAAAACAAAAAAAAAAAACCGCCAACTTCAGGCCTATTTCAATTTTTTTTGTGACTTTCCAAATTTTCAATATTAAGCACATAGCCTATAAGTAACAAAACAGCCTTTGCGAACTTTAAAATCATTTTTTAAGTTCCCCTCCCCGGGGCAGTGGTGCAGAGAAGGCCTGAGGAAGGAGAGGACCAGGGACCCCGAGGACAGCTCTGCCCCCCACCCCCGGGGCCAACAGCCTCTCTCTTGCCGTCTCCCTGTCCTGCCCATTCCTGTAAGAGCGAGGGGCATTTCTGCCCATATTGTGCTGGTAGGATGCCAAGGCCTCCTCTGGGGTATATCTCAGAGGCCCCCTCAGTGCTCGCCCTCCCACCTGCGGGGCCCCACTCACCAGGTCTGGTTGGTGCTGGGATCTTGGTGCAGAAGCGAGCTGAGCACGAAAGGCGCACCTCCCTCCCGGGTGACCCAGGGCCTGGTCACGTCCACATTGAAGGCCCCCAGGGGTGCCAGGCCTATGGGCAGAAGAGGAATTGTATAAACCAAGACACATTCATGAAGCCGGGGCTGGGATGTACCTCCCACTATTCCATCAGGTCTTGCGGGGTCATTGTACCTGTTTCACAGATAAGAAAATTGAGCTCCCCAAGGACGTTTTTTCCCCAGGGGAAGAGAACTGGATGCCAGTGTGTCTGCCTCAGAGCCTCTGAACCCCTCCTTAGTCCAGCTCCTCCGGTGGCAGGCTCTCTCCTCTGAGAGGCCACCCAGGTGATCCTCCTGCCTGCCCAGTGCTGGGCTCACACACTGCCCCTGCTGTCCATGCACTTCTGTGACCCATAACAAGGTGAACCCGGATTCTGTGTTCCTGGCAGAGAGATACGTATGTGCTTCCAAGTGACCGAGAGAAAACTGACGTTCTCAAAAACCTCTGCTCCAGGGTGGCTTGTGGCAGTGTCACTGGTTTCTGCCCCAAACTGGAAACATCATGAACACCCACCAGTGGGACCATGGAGAAGCTGTGGACGTTCCTCCAGCAGGATACACTGCTCAGGAGGAAAAAGAATGGCCTGATGTGCACAGCACTCTAGGTGATGCTCAAAACTCAAGCCCAGTGAAGAAAAAGTATCTACTGGGGCCAGGGATTTGGATCAGCGGCATAAGCACCTGCCGGGCACCATGAGGTCATGAATTTGATTGCTGGTATAAAAAATAAGTACCTACTGGCCCAACCTGGGCAACCTAATGACTTAGTGAGATTCTGTCTCAAAATACAAAATAAAAGCTCTAGGGTTGTAGTCCAGTGCAAATGCCGTGGGTCTAATCCCCAGTACTGTAGAGAAAAAGAGTGCGTACTGTATACCGGTAGTGAGAAAGACAGTGACTGCGTGGGGCGGGGTAGAGGTCAGCACGGGAAAGACCTACAAATCTGAAGTGGTAAGAATATCCTATATCTTGGCAGTTTGAGTTACAAATATTTGTGCCTTTGTTCATTTAAACTTATGCATTTCATTGTAGGTGAATTTTACCCAAAACGTAAAAGAACTACACACAAATTTTGAACTTCTCTTGATATCTGTACTGAAACGTTTAAGGGTAAATCATACTGATGTCTGCAATTCACTTCACTTCACTGTGTGTGTGTGTGTGTGTGTGTGTGTGTGTGTGTGTGTGTGTGTTTCTGTGTGCCCGTGGGCGGGTTGACCCAGGCTCTGACTTTGTAGCTCAGGCTGACCTTGAACTCACTGTGTAAGGCACACTGGACTCAGACTCATGCTGATGCTCCTGTCCCAGCCTCCCACATGCAGGGATGCAGACATTCACCATGGACCCCTCCACCTGCTGTCAGCACACTGAGGAGCCTGCTTAGCTGACCCCTGCTCTCTCGCTGTCTCTCGTGTGTGTGTGTGTGTGTGTGTGTGTGTGCGTGTGTGTGTGTGTGTGTGTGTGTTTGCAGCACCTCAGTACCTTCCACCGCAAGGAGTGGGAGGATGTGCAGAACACACCATGCACACCATGGTGCTGTTTAAATCCCATACCGACTAACCGCCCCCGCTCATCTCTGGGTCTCCCGTTCTCATTTCCATTCTCATTGTTACTACTGTTAGTTCCTGATTATGACGTAACTGCTATGTAAGCAACACATCGATTTACTTTTAAATATATCAAAATTTAAGATGACTGATGGGTGTGACAGAACAAATATTTTTAAAGATTCACATTTGTAAACCCTAGCTGCCCAGTGTATAATTTATCAGGTCTGTGCACATGAAATTTTTATTTCGTATCAAGGATCAAACTCACAACCTTGTGCTTGCCAGGCAGGTGTTTATACCACTGAGCTAAATCCCCAGTTCCACATGAAAATTCTTTTTTTTTTTTTTTTTTTTGTCTTTTTCATTTTTATCGGTACCAGGGATCAAACTCATGACTGCCTGCTTGCAAGGCAGGCGCTTATGCTGCTGAGCTAAATCCCCAGCCCCCAACACATGAAAATTCTTAACAAAAATTGTGAGGGAAGCATTGTGTGAGGTACTGGGTTCACACCTCAGCATCACAAAAAAAAAATTGTGGTAGGAAATTTAGGTCGATGAGTTGCTGCCCAAAAAGGCCACACCAATTTATACTTCCATAAGAGATTAGGGAATTAATTTCTTCCCCAAAATGTCACCCAAACTGTTGTGCATACCACATTGCGCATTCCCGAGGACCACATCTTTGTTTTAAAAGTATATCTCATCACTTTGTTCCAAAATTCTTCTTCAGGGCAGATGTGTGGTTCAGTGGTAGAGTATATACCTAGTATGCCTGTAGTCCCATGTTTGACCCCCAGTACCAAAATACAAAAATAAACAAAAAATATCTATTTTTAAATTATGAGTGAAGTCATATGTTTTATAAATTTATTTACTGCTTATTCATATACATTATCCATTTTTATGAACACGTGTTTATTTTTCTTACTTGTAAACACCTTTATTTATTTATTTTCTGGGGGTGGTCCCGGGAATTGAACTCACGACCTCGTGCTTGCCAGGCAGGCACTTGTGCCACTGAGCTAAATCTCTAGCCCCATAAATAGAGAAATTAGTCATGTATTCCAGATACTGCTTTTTACTTTTTGCTGTTTAATTTATATATATTTTCCCCACCTCTACATTTGTGTGCAAATTGGCTTTCCTTTATGACTTTTAAGTTTTGTGTCCTGCCAACCCACTCACGATTTTTTTATTTATTCACTCACGCTGTCTCCAGTTTTTCATTGTTGCATTTCTTAACCCTGAATTTTAGTCTTTTCTTCATATATTTGAAACACATTCTACTACTGAGCTACACCCCTGCCTTTGTGAATAGCTTATCTGATCCTCATAATTCTGAAACTCAGAATTCTTATGTGCATTTGGGCCTCAGTTCTACTCCACTAACCTACAGCAAAGGCTGGCTATAAACAATAGGACAGCTTTGTTTCCTGGACTTTCTCCCTTATGACTTGTTCCTTTGAATACACTCTACACCACCTCCTAAAAAGATTTTTTAATTTTTTGGTTTTTTGAAACAAGGTCTCACTACGCAGTTCAGGCTGGCCTTGAACTCACTGCATAGGCCAAGCTGGCCTCAACTCACTGTGTCCTCCCGTCTCAGCCTCCCCAGAAATAGGCTCACAGATGTGCGCCACCACATCCAGCTAAAAAGACTTTTTCAGAGTGTCATGATGTGAAATCCAGCAATACTATTATTCTTTGTTCAGAATGATTTTTAACTTGCTTTAGTTTATTTAATCTCAACATAAATGAAGATATGGATAACTGCATGTATGTTTAAGTGTATAGGATTGACAACCATATTTCTAAGTTTTTGTTGGACAGTTGAACAGAACTGTTTGCAGTCTCACTGTTTGAATTCCCACTTTATATGTTCCATTTTTGTACCTTGAACAACTATTTGTAAACATCAATATGTAAACATCAGCTCGTGATTTCTTACTATTCATTTTTTTTTCTGAACATATGTATTATTTCTACCTATTTTCTGTTTTGTTTAGTCTTTCTTTAAATAATTTTTTTTTTTTTTGTCTTTTTCCTTTTTATCGGTACCGGGGATCGAACTCACGACTGCCTGCTCGCAAGGCAGGAGCTTATGCCGCTGAGCTAAATCCCCAGCCCCTAAATAAAATTTTTTTAAAAAAGACTCTTTCAAAGCACAATATGACCACCTGCAATCTGACCACGATCTAACCATTGACCACATGGGAAAAAGCAAGACAAAGTTCTGTTCACATCTGTTCAATTACTGTCCAGTTAATGCGGCCATGGTGGCCCATATCTGACTGAAATGCTTTTGGGACACAGTCCTTTGTTTACGGTATAATAACTGCTTCATAGGGCTGGGGATTTAGTTCAGCGGCATAAGTGCCTGCCTTGCAAGCGCATGGTCGTGAGTTCGAACCCGGTACCGATAAAAAATAAATAAATAAGTAACTGCTTCATCTCTACACTAAATAGACATACCCTACAGAATGATATTGTAATGCCAGTGTGGTGGCACAGGTTTGTGATCCTCTGCTTGGGGTGCGGACTCCAGGCAACGCGCCCTCAGTCTGCCCACATCCGCTGGCCACATACCCACCCCACCTTGCACCCCAAAAACTGGGGACTCTGACTCCCCCTGAGATCCCGCCCTGCCACCCCCTCTGCCTGTGCACCAAGTGGAAGGGCTGACAGAGGTGGCACCCTCTTTGAATCTACAGCTCTCTCTATGCATTTTAAAATGCTTTCAGCTGAGTGTGATAGTGCACACCTATAATCTCAGAGTTTGGAGGCTGAGGCAGGAGGTTCTCTATGAGTCTAAACCCAGCCTGGGCTACACAGTGAGTTCAAAGTTAGCCTGAAGTATATAGTGAGACCCTGTATCAGAAACAAAGAAAGAAGAAAGGAAGAAAGAGAAAGAGATTTCAACCAGCAACAGTCACACTTTGGATGAATCTTACTGGCTACAATACTGCCGCTGCACAAAGCTAAGAAGGATGTTTCAGGTTTAGTATTTATTTTGCCTTCAAAGTATTTTTCTGTGTTCTAACAATTTGCTTGAATGTAAAAATAGCCATGGATTCCTAAAGTTGAAGAAACAGTAGAGAAAAGAAAATAGACCTTTACAAACTCTTCTGCTACCCACTGTCACATTCAATCTTCCTCTTTTAACAAGAACAATTAACTTGTGAACAATATTGTTTTTTTTGTTTTGTTTTGTTTTTTTGAAACAGGATTTCACTAAGCAGTTCAGGCTTGTCTTGAACTCACTTTGTAGCCCAGACTGGCCTTGAACTCACAGTAATCTTTTTGCCTCAGTCTCCAGAGTGTGGGATTACAGATGTGTTGTACAATAAATTTTTACAAGCAAATTGTGATTTCATATTCAAGTTATTGATTTTATTTGTATAAATGCATTTTATTGGTCAAGATAATATATTTATCTACTAATAATAATTATTTGGATGTCTTGGGTGGGATGGAATGCATCA